ATGTCTGGGCTGCAGTGGCCCAGTATTGTCAGAATATCTCAGTGCTCCTTGCAGTTGACATCTCTCGCTGGTAGACTAAGCCTTGGCTTTCGTGTACTAAGGGAGGTGGCAGCTCGAAGCCAATATTCCAGCTCCATTAATATTTATTTTGCTATCACTGTAACTCACTTGTCTTAACGTAACTTTTCATTTGCCAGTGATTATTCATATTATTTTGTTTGTTGACTTGTCTTTTATATTTTATGTGCTTAACTTTATTCATGTCTTGTTTTTCTAAAGTAATTAAAATTTCATTGTTAAATTTACTTGTGTTTTGTGTGTCTTCCCATTACCTTACCACAGACGAAAGTTCCAGCTTTTCTCTTTTTTTTCTATAATGTGACGAGGCCCTGCCCCTAGCTTTTGAAACAGCCGAACACCAACGCTTTACCGTCACATATATATATATATATATATATATATATATATATATATATATATATATATATATATATATATATATATATATATATCCAAGTTTTCATGAATTAATATATTTTTTCGATTACCTAACCTACCTAACCTAACCTAACCTAACTTTTTCGGTACCTAACCTAACCTTTTATAAAGATAAGTTAGGTTAGGTTAGGTAGGGTTGGTTAGGTTCGGTCATATATCAACGTTAATTTTAACTCCAATAAAAAAAATTGACCTCATAGGTAATGAAATGGGTAGCTTTATCATTTCATAAGAAAAAAAATTAGAGAAAATATATTAATTCAGGAAAACTTGGCTTATTAGGCAAATCGGGCCTTGCATAGTAGGCTGAGAAGTGCGTTCTGGCTACTAGGTACGACATATATATATATATATATATATATATATATATATATATATATATATATATATATATATATATATATATATAATATATATATATATATATATATATATATATATATATATATATATATATATATATATATATATATATATATATATATATATATATATATATATATATATATATATATATATATATATATTGCTAATTTTTATATGGGAACCATCGAAGATAGGGTCTTCAGTAGCAGACAAAAACCAACTGTATACTGCCGTTATGTAGATGACATATTCGTAATAGTAAAAGACTCAGATGAACTAATTGACCTAAAAAGACACCTAGAGAGAGAGTCAGTACTCCGATTTACACATGAAAATAGTGAAAATAACAGTCTGCCATTCTTGGATGTACTAATAACAAAAACAGGAACCTCTTTAAGCACCAACGTATATACCAAGCCCACCAACATAGGATTATGCCTGAACGGTAGAAGTGAGTGCCCCCAAAGATACAAAGCCAGTGTTCTCAATGCTTATATTCGTCGAGCGCTTACCCACTGCTCTGAATGGAGCAACGTGAGTAGAGAGTTTGAAAGAGTAACTCAGGTATGGGTGAACAACGGATATAGCAACGCGGAAATAAACGCTGCTATAAGAAGACACTTGGACCGTTGGTATAATTCAGAACCTAGAACAGAAACCACAACACCCCCCATAAAATTATATTACAAATCAACCATGCACAGTGAACATATAAAAGAGGAAAGAATAATGAAAGAAATAATCCGTAAAGGAGTAAAAAGCACTACTCCTAACCAAACATAAACCTGATAATATTCTACAAAACCAAGAAGACTTCCGAACTCCTTATCAAAAACAGCCCGAAGCCGACGGAGAAACCCTCTACAGCAGTCAAGCGTTGTATACATGTACACTTGCCCCCACGAAGGATGTAACCTTCAATGTAAGTACATAGGTATGACGTCGACCAAGCTGACGAGGCGTTTGACATGCCATCTTCAATCTGGTGCCCCTAGGAATCACATGAGACAAGCCCATGACATTACTCTAACAAGAGAAATGTTGAACAAGAATACTTGCATAATAGACAAAACCCAAGATTCAAGAAGATTACAAATTCTTGAGGCAATTCACATAAGAATAGAGCGACCTACCATGAACACCCAAATCACGGAACTATTTACTCTACCCACCATGAGAGTAAGGACAAGACAAGAACATATCGATGCCAACACAGAAGACAATGTCCAACATAACAGGCCAATTACACTGGATTAATCTTTGTGTTTAGATAGGAGATGCCTCGTATGGGCCAATAAGCCTTCTGCAGCCCCTATGTTTATCCCTTATGTATCCCCCCATGTTTTCACCTTCATTGTATTATCACCTGACCTAATGCGGGTATAAAATCAACTGAATGAACCATGGAGGTTCGAAACGTCGTGCAAATTATACAAATAAGTGTAATACACTCTATAGTAAATCACTTCTTTCTTCACCTTAAAAGTACGAAAATGAGTTTTGGAGAACTCCTATTCAATTAAGCCCTGATGCTAAGAAAATAGTTAGAGGGATAGAAGCCCTAAACCAGAAAAAAAAAAAAAAAAAATATATATATATAATATATATATATATATATATATATATATATATATATATATATATATATATATATATATATATATATATGTGTGTGTATATCACGAAAATAAACACGTGATTAAGAATGTGACACTGTCAGACCACGGAGGAAAAATGAAACAGGAAATTTCCTTAAGTACTTTCGTATATTAAATACATCTTCAGAAGGTGAAGATGTATTTAATATACGTATTAAAGGTGTATTTAAAATACACCTTCTGAAGATGTATTTAATATACGAAAGTACTTAAGGAAATTTCCTGTTTCATTTTTCCTCCGTGGTCTGACAGTGTCATATATATATATATATATATAGATATATATATATATATATATATATATATATATATATATATATATATATATATATATATATATATATATGCAGAATAACCACATGTGAAAAATAGTAAATGCTTAGCGCGTTTTTGGCTAATTCGCCTTCATCAGAGCAAAGTATAATGAAGATGATTTTTTGATTTGTGATTTTTTATTAATGATTTTTGTGATCGTTATTGCATGTGTGTATATATATATATATATATATATATATATATATATATATATATATATATATATATATATATATATATATATATATATATATGTCGTACCTAGTAGCCAGAACGCACTTCTCAGCCTACTATGCAAGGCCCGATTTGCCTAATAAGCCAAGTTTTCATGAATTAATTGTTTTTCGAGTACCTAACCTACCTAACCTAACCAACCTAACTTTTTCGGCTACCTAACCTAACCTAACCTATAAAGATAGGTTAGGTTAGGTTAGGTAGGGTTGGTTAGGTTGGTCATATATCTACGTTAATTTTAACTCCAATAAAAAAATTGACCTCGTACATAATGAAATGGGTAGCTTAATCATTTCATAAGAAAAAAATAGAGAAAATATATTAATTCAAGAAAACTTGGCTTATTAGGCAAATCGGGCCTTGCATAGTAGGCTGAGAAGTGCGTTCTGGCTACTAGGTACGATATATATATATATATATATATATATATATATATATATATATATATATATATATATATATATATATATATATATATATCGACTTGAGAATGGTCCAGGACAGACCGATACATCGTCGTCCCTTCACTTTCTAGTGTGTGGTCAACATACTGCAACCACGTTATTGTGACTTCGCCTGCAACAAGTTTTCATCTAACACTTTTTGAAATATGCACTTACACAATGATTGCTATATGTAAAATTAAACTATACCCTGTGACCAAATATCAAATGAACAAGGTATATTTAAGGTACTTGACAGAGAGCAGCCGTGCGTCCTTCCACCCCGGGACTAAGTATGCCACTGAAGATATACTTCAGCAAGCAGCCGGGGTGCCCTGCCAGCCTAGCCTCCTGAAATGGTAATTCTCATAGTAACTATTTGGAGGAAAGTACCAATATATAGTGATGGATCGCCAATAAAGCACTATTTTTACTATTAATCTTATAGTGTCTGGAAAGAATAAAGCTAAAATCCAAACTTTAATATTCCTCGGGTTAGTAAAGCACATGTATGTACTATATATATTATGCTTACGGTTCTCTGGATTAGGCCTAGGAATGTTAATAGAGGTTAGGGTTGGGTTAGGTCTTATATTTATGCTGAGGTTAAAAGAAAAGTTTCCAGTTTCTTAAAATTCATTACTACATAAGTAAAATTTCTGTTGATCAATCACTACATGTTGGAAATTTCCACCACATGTTACAATAAATTATTTCATTTTTTGAGGCTAGGCTGATCGTGCACACTCATACGGAGAATGTAGAGACAATGTTGTCACATCTCTGACCAGACACAAACCTCCCATTCATCCTTCACTGACTTCTGAATGTCGATCATGTATCTACAAATGAAGACTGACGCCAAAACCGTCCTCTCCTTCCTGACGGAACTTCCCTCTGTAACAGTTCCACTCCACCACCGTCCTCTTTCCCCTGACGGAATCCATGTGTCAACCTACCAAGTTGACAGATGAACTTACAATACCTACCAGGTTGACTCGTGGCATTACAATACCTACCAGGTTGACCCGTGACATTACAATACCTACCATGTTGACCCGTGACATTACAACACCTACCAGGTCCTTACAATAAAAATACTGCTGACCTGGATCTTTAAGGGTTTGAAGGGTGAGTATAACACTAGATGTAAACAGTAAGCGTTTAATAAATAGATAAATATAAACAAATTATTTACAGTGAACAGTGAAGAGGTGTGAAAATGCACGACGTAATGGGAGGTATAATCCCAGCTAGATGCCAGCTGAAGAATAGAGTAACACCATAAATGACACCGAAAACTTTTATTTTAAGTGACACTGGGGTATAAATTAGTCTATCCCGTTTGTCCCTCTTTTTGAGTAGTGGGACTATGTTTCCTTCCAGAGTTCTGTCTCAAGTATTTATTTAATATTTTAGTAAGCGAATGACAATGTATATCTGTAGCCTCCTTCATCAGCCACAGTAATATCAACCCTGGTTCTATTTACTTTGTCGCATCTAGTTCCTCCAAGTGAGTATTTACCTCCTCCATGTGAGTGTTTACCTCCTCCATGTGAGTGTTTACCTCCTTCATGTGAGTATTTACCTCCTCCATGTGAGTGTTTACCTCCTCCATGTGAGTGTTTACCTCCTCCATGTGAGTGTTTACCTCCTCCATGTGAGTGTTTACCTCCTCCATGTGAGTGTTTACCTCCTCCATGTGAGTGTTTACCTCCTTCATGTGAGTATTTACCTCCTCCATGTGAGTGTTTACCTCCTCCATGTGAGTGTTTACCTCCTCCATGTGAGTGTTTACCTCCTCCATGTGAGTGTTTACCTCCTCCATGTGAGTGTTTACCTCCTCCATGTGAGTGTTTACCTCCTCCATGTGAGTGTTTACCTCCTCCATGTGAGTGTTTACCTCCTCCATGTGAATATTTACCCCCTCCATGTGAGTGTTTACCTCCTCCATGTGAGTGTTTACCTCCTCCATGTGAGTGTTTACCTCCTCCATGTGAGTGTTTACCTCCTCCATGTGAATGTTTACCTCCTCCATGTGAGTGTTTACCTCCTCCATGTGAGTGTTTACCTCCTCCATGTGAGTGTTTACCTCCTCCATGTGAGTGTTTACCTCCTCCATGTGAGTGTTTACCTCCTCCATGTGAGTGTTTACCTCCTCCATGAGTGTTTACCTCCTACATGTGAGTGTTTACCTCCTCCATGTGAGTGTTTACCTCCTCCATGTGAGTGTTTACCTCCTCCATGTGAGTGTTTACCTCCTCCATGTGAGTGTTTACCTCCTCCATGTGAGTCTTTTCCTTCTGCATGTAAGTGTTTACCTCCTCCATGTGAGTGGAGGAGGTAAACAAGTTTGAAGTTTGAAGCACAAGGAGGACACTATGAGGAAGAAATAAGGTACTTTTTCATTTTACTTTTGAACAGGGCATAGGCTGGACAATTTGTTAATTCATCAGGGAATGAATTAAAAACACAATAGACACTGGTCAATTCTAAATTCAATGCGCATATAATTTCACTACACATTTTTCCCACTTAACACATATTTTGGTGGGACCTAGCCTCTTATTTCTTCTTAAATGGCAGTCCCAAGAAGTTTCTTAGTAACTGTGAGAACACCCCGTCGTTGTTGCCCAATCACGTTGCCGGGTCAACTGGAGAACTGCCCAATCACATACGTTTTGTTTATCAGCTGATGTTGATAAAAAAAATAAGTTACTTATTCACCGAGGGGTCTTGTCCAGCTTCTCGGTATATATTTACTTTATTTTAGCCCTTAATCATGTTCAGGAATAAAGTAATCTTGGCGGTTGGCCAGGAGGCTCAGGCGGAAGCCTCATACATCTCCCGTGGTTGACACATTGTTGGCTACCAGGGTTGTGTTGAGGGACCGGTGGGCGTGTGTTGGTAGATTACATATACACCACAATGCCCCCCCCCCTCCCTATTTATTGGTGTATAGACGCTGAGCTTACTTTTGTCCAGGGATGTGTTCAGGGTCAAGTATACTTGCTGCTTGGTAAGTAAGCCTTAATAACCCTGGTGCATTAAAAGGATTTAAGCTCAACGCCAAACAAAACAAGTTGTAAGTGTTGGTGATGAACGATTTTAGAAGTTTTGATATGTTAAAAGAAGGCCAGAGTAATTATATACCTTGTTCAATGTTTAACATACCGATAATTCTATTGCAAATTTGATTAAATGTTGATGCAACTGAATGTGCATGCGTAAGGATAGCCTAGTAAATTTAATTAATGTAATGAAATATTCATAAACAACTCGATCAGTACCTTCAAAGGATACCTGATCAACAATGCAGTGACACGTACGTCAGGCTACGAGTAACCGCATCGAACAGCCTGGTTGATCAGACCAGAGGCCTGGTCAGAGACCGGGCTGCGGGGACGTTAATACACGAAATTAACAACAGACAATCAACTCACATATAATAAATATTAAGTTTTAAAATTGTATGCAAGCTAATCATTCAGTAACTTTATTCATAGTACCTTTATAATTTACTTACTATACAAAATTAAGTAAACTTTTAAATATACAAGGCAAAGATACTGAAAAGAAGCATCGCTTTTCATTAATTATGCATTATATACAAATAATACCAATACTCACATGACATAATACTGAATATGTTAAAAAAAAGACAATGCAGACAACAGCAATTGTTACACATTAATGACAGTAGACAATTTATAGTAATCTACCTTTTCTAGTAATAGATGGATTATTCAAAAAATTTGTTTTAAGAAACACCTAAATTTAACATCAATGCTTGCACCAGGAGATATGTATTGCAATTGAAAAACAAATTATTAAGATATATAAAATTTTAAAGACTTCAGTTTCTTATACAAAATGAAACAATTACTCAGTATTGTAAAATTTGTAGCAACCATTAATTTTTAGATGAAACTAAGTGCACAGGACATAAACTATTAAATTTCTGAAACAGGGAAAAAAGAATCATTGATGAACGTGTAGGTCAACGAAGAAATAAAGGTTTGACAGTATTTAAATTATTCTGTCAAGATTTATATATTTTGTAAAAATGGCAGAACTACAAACAAAAATCAGTGTTTGAAGTGTCAAATTTTAGAAACATTAAATATCAGTGTTCAACATTATTTACTCTTAATTTCGTTCTGTATATTATATCTTATATATTTAGTTATTATATTATATTATATCTTACAATAAACGATTCAATGTTTCCATTATATTAATATTAAAAAAGTAGACACATTTATTGACCACACACAAATATAACAAGTTGAAATTTCCTGAAATATTATATTTTTCTAAATTTTGTCTAAATAGAATGATAAAACACCCCATTACATGATATATAATCTGATGTTTTTAAAATTTGAGTCAAAACTAACTATTCAAATTTTATCAAGACTAACCTAATCTATGTTAGCCTAACATAATCGAGTCAAAAATTCATTGACCAAATCACACACTAGAAAGTGAAGGGACGACGACGTTTCGGTTCGTTCTGGACCATTCTCAAGTCGATCGTGACAATCCACCGCTGCCACTGGATGGGGGGGTCGGTGTGCAGGACAACCCTACCTCTGAATAGACAGTACGTTTTATTATTAAATGTAATAAGTACATTTCTGACTGTCTGCATAGTACATAAATACACTTAATTGAGCTGTTACCTTTACCTCCCCATATATTTTCCTAATTTTGTGTTAATACACTCCAAATATTTAAATAGAAATTTTCGTATTTAATTCAATATACTCAAGTTTTATTTATAAAGAATTTCTTTTTCAGTTTTATTAAACAATATAGATGTTGAGAAAAGCACTAACAAAAGCACCCTAAAAAGCACTAACGATGCACTTATTAGTATGATTAACTTGATACATACAGCTCTTGATAAAAATGAGTTCCCTGTAGGGTTATTTGTAGACCTGCTTAAGGCTTTTGACACTGTTAACCACTAAAACCTTCTTCTTAAATTACAACATTATGGAGTCAGAGGTCACTCCCTGCAGTACATTAAGTCTTACCTTACTGACAGGCTCCAGTATGTTACTGTGAATAATTCAATTTTTCCCACCCTACCCATCAACATTGGTGTTCCCCAGGGCAGCATACTTGGCCCTCTCTTCTTTCTCATCTACATTAATGACCTTCCAAATGCCTCCCAACATCTCAAACCAATTCTATTTGCTGACGACACGACCTTCATTTACTCCAGTCCTGATCCCCTTGCTCTAAATATCACAGTGAATACTGAGCTAAATAAAGTCCATCACTGGCTAACTGCCAACAAACTCACCCTCAATATTGACAAAATTTTCTATATTTTGTTTGGCAATAAATCCTCAAATCAAATAAATCTCAGGATTAGCAATACCCAAATTTGTAACAAAGTAGATGGCAAATTCCTTGGCGTTCTCATTGACCGCAAGCTGAATTTCCAGGGACACATTCTAAATATATCAAAAAAAGTTTCAAAAACTGTTGCCATTCTTTCTAAGATCAGATATTATGTACCTCGCCCTGCTCTGGTGACACTCTATTAATCTCTCACCTATCCTTATCTCATCTATGGTATTTGTGCTTGGGGTTCTACTACCCAAAATCATTTACGTCCTCTAATTACTCAACACAAAGCTGCTATTAGGACAATATCTAACTCTGGCCCCAGACATCACTCGGTACCCTTACTGAAATCTCTGAATATGTTAGATATTAAGTCACTGCACATCCTCTCATGTGTATTTTATATATATATATATATATATATATATATATATATATATATATATATATATATATATATATATATATATATATATATATATATATATATATTTATATATATATAAAACGCTGAACTGTAATGTCAATCCGGACCTTAAAAGCTTCCTAAAAGGTTGTAACAGATCCCATGAGCACCACACCAGAAACAAATACCTATTTGATATTCCAAGATTACGACTTAGTCAAACTAGAAATGCTTTACAAATCAAGGGACCCAGAATGTGGAATGACCTTCCCAATTATGTTAAAGACTGTCCCTCTCCCAACCAGTTTAAGATAAAAACTAAGTGCTACCTAATTAACTCAATGTAACCTACCTCACTCCTAAATGTCAACCCATGTCTACGATTTTAAACAATGTTGTTTGTTGACCAAATTGTATTTTTTTTTTTTTTCTGCCATGTTTCCCTCCCCTGTTTTTTCATTTTTTTTTCTCAACACAATTTATACTTTAATTTCAATTAGTATTAAGTTCTAATCTTAGTGTTTTTCCCTGCCCGAAGCGCTTTGCGTAATAGTGGCCTTAGGCATTGTATGTACTAGCTCTATCTATAAATTCATCAACCTTTGTATGTTGTTAAAGATTCGCTACCTGGAACAAAAAGTTCCAAGTAACACGGGCTATGGTGAGCCCGTAGATAATTATATCTTGCCCTGTATGTATGTACTTTATCTGAATAAATATTTGTATTTGTTTGTAGATTTTATACAAAATTTGAAAATATCCTGTGGTACTTTTTAATTTATAGAAAATCTTTAGTTTTGTTTTATTAGTGTTAGAAAATTGTAATATCAATATAGCTATAGGTTAAGTACTAATTGTAATTAAGAAGCAATAAATGCTATTTACATAATAATAATAATAATAATAATAATAATTTTTATTTAGGTAAAGGTACATACATAAAGAGATTTTACAAAATTTGTTGGCTATAGATAGAGCTAGTACATACAATGCCTAAAGCCACTAATTACGCAAAGCGTTTCGGGCAAGACATGCTTGTCCTCCTACTCTCCTAAGGTTAGGTTAGGTCGTGGTTTTCTATACAGTTTTTCAGGTAAACTCTAATATTCACAATATTTTGGTGCGATGATGGCGATTAAGTGTATTTATATACTATGCCGATAGTCAGGATTATACTTATTACATTTAGTATTAAAACGTACTGACTATTCGGAGGATTGGCTGAAGACAAACATATCAATTGTGGCACTAGCTCTCCACATATGTCAGTTGCTTAATTTAGAAACTGTACTTGTGGTCGGTCTCGAGCCCATTGTTGATCTGACGACTTATACTGAATTTTGTAACTAGTTCATCAAGATTGTAACTTGCTTAGCTAAATGAATTGTGGGTTCAGT